ATGTAGGAGAAATATATACACATAAAATAAAAATAAAACTTTTTTGGGGGGTCTTTTTGAGACAGAGTCTCCCTGTAGCTCCAGTTGGCCTAGAACTCACTATGTAGACCAGGCTGGCCTCAAACTCACAGAAATCCACCTGTCTCTGCCTCCCAAGTGATGGGACTAAAGGCATGGGCCACCATTCCTGGCCAAATAAAATATTTTTTAAAATCCCAAAAAGATAAACGGGGGCCAGTGAGATGGCTCAGCAGGTAAAGTGCTTGCTGTGCAAACCTGATGACCTGAGTTTGATCCCTGGAACTCATGTAAAGGTGGAAGGGAGGAATGGACTTCACAAAGTTCTCTTCCGACCTCTTGTGGCATACACACATCATTCACATCATTCACACACACAATGATAATAATAATAATAATAATAATAATAGTATTAACAACAATAACAACAACAACAAAACAGGGATTTTAGATTAGCGGTAGAGTGCCTGCCTAACATGTTTGAGGTCCTGGGTTCAATACTCAGCACAGCCATTGAAAAAAAAAAGACAAACAGAGCACCGTGGTGAACACCCATAATCTCAATTTGGGTGGTGGAAGCAGCAGGATTAAAAGTTCAAAGTTGTTCTCCGCTACATAGGGAGTTTGAAGTCAGTCTGGGCTACAGTAGATCTTTTCTAAAAAAGAATTGGCTTGTTGGATTCGGAGGCAAAGAGTCCCCCTGATCTGCTGTCTCCAAGCTGGACACTCAGAAAAGTTGGCACTGTTACTCCAGTGTACATCAAATGCCCGTAAACCAAAGAGCCACAGGTGCAAATCCCAGTCCAAGGGCTGAGGAATGCTGATGCCTCAGCTCCAGTAGGCAGGCAGAAAAAGGGTGAATTCTTCCTTCCTCTGCTTACTAAGCCTTTAAAGGATTCGTTAATGTCCAACCACATTGGGGAGGGCCATCTTCTGACTCTAACGCTAATCCCTTCTGGAAACATCCTCACAGACACATCAGAAATGATGTTTACTCTGGGCTCCCTGTGGCTCAATGACACATAAATCAAACATCCCTTGGCTTCTTCCCTAGTTGAGCTTCAGAAGGGACTGTGATCCCTGATGGTACATTGGTGGCAGCCTGTGTGAGAAGACCCAGTGAAGTCATGCTGGCCTTCTGACTCACAGTCAAAAAATAAATGCATATTATTTAAGAAACAGAGATACTAGTAGTTACAGATAATACAAATTTGCCCCCAGAAAAGTACACACTGTGCACAGCTCATATTTTAAAAAACTGAACATACCTGTGTAACCAGTATCCAGGCCAGGATACAGAAACTAGCAGAATCTTGAGACTAGCCACTCTCCTTTTCTTTTAGTCACTTACCTCCTGAGCACTGGCATTACAGAACTGAGCCATCATGCCTGTCTTTGTTTTTTCCTATTTCTTCTACACGGAGTCACACCATGTGTACAAATTAGCTTTAGCAGATTCTCAGTTACACCAAGAATCACTAAGACAGTAAGGGAACCAGCGGTTGACAATTTGCCAGTAGTTAACCATTACTGACTTGATCTGGGGAGGGAAGCTGATTCTAGAATAGAAATACTGTGTTCTAGACAGAAAGGGTTGGAACAGGAAGGAGGAGCACCTCACTCGACCCCTGTGGCTTGGCTCTTCCATCCTGAGTTTTTAAAGCCATTGCTTTTGCTCTACTTCCTACTCCCATTTGTTGTCTTATCTATTACTTGATTTCCAGAGCATGCTCAGAGAAATTAAACACTAAGTCATATTTCAGTATTTTTGTCTCTGTCTATGAGCCAACACCTTGGTGTCTGGGTTTTTACTTTCAGAAGTCTTTTACAAGTTTTGTTATTGGGGATCAGAAACCAGCATGCACGATTAAGCCAAGCAGCAACATTAGACGTGAGTTTCTCAGGACTGGGGAGATGGCTCAGTGGTTAAGAGCACTGACTGTTCTTGCAGAAGACCTGGGTTCGAAATCCAGCATCCACATGGTGGCTAACAACTGTCCAGTTCCAGGGGCTCCAACACGCTCTTCTGTCCTCCTCAGGCACTGCACCACGCTGGTGCACTTACACACATGCAGGCATAACACTCATACACATAAAGTAAAAATAAGTTTAGAAAATTTTTTAAAAAAAAGCTGGCCTGGAACTACAAGCATGTACCACCATGCCTGGCCCAGCTGTATTGCTTATTCCTCTCATCCATCCATACAGCCAGTCCTCCATCCTACCACATAACCAGCCCCATTTATCACAGGGTCTCTATGTCAATTCCATGCCAGGAGGAGCTTGCTCCCACAAATGACTAGGATACAACAATAAATGTAAAACCTAGGTTCTCCACTAGATTTGGGGTTCCACGAGGAGGGTAAAATCTTTTTATAACATGATTTGGCTCCCATTTTCCACTCACTCTCTTCAACCACCTGGTGTTCCTTCTATTTCAGGACCAAGCCAAGCTCTCTTTTGCCTTGGAACTTTAAGAAAGTGTTGTTCTTTTTTGACCCAGCAATGGCAAGAGCTGGCTCTGTGTTTTCTTTTGCATCCTAAAGTGTCCTGTCCTCAGAACGGCCTTTCCTACCTCCTTACCTAAAGGGTATATTCTTTTGCCTGTCCCATCTACTCTCTGTTATCTCACTTTGTTTCTTTCTCTTATGTAATTGCTCAGAATCTGTCATCAACTTGTTTATTTAATAACTCATCAACTAGAAACACCAGGCCCAGGAGGGCCTAAATCTTTTTGTTTTTTCTTTTTTCTTTTTGGTCTTTTTGAAACAGGGTCTCCCTGCAGCCCCAGCTGGCCTGGAACTCACTATGTAGACCAGGCTGGCCTCGAACTCAAGAGATACGCCTGCCTGTGCCTCCCAAGTGCTGGGACTAAAAGTATGAACCACATGCCTGGCTCTTTTCCTTTTCCTTTAAAAAAATTATTATTTTTATTTTATGTGTGTGAGTGTATTGCCTGCATGCATGTAAGTGCACTGTGTCATGCAATGCCTTCGGAGGCCAGAAGATCACATAAGATTTTAGTAGAGACTGGTACATAGTACTCAGTTCTTAGAATTTCCTTTTTACTTCCCCAACCCTGGTACCTTCTTCCCTCTTCTGGGGGCATTCTCAATGCCTCTGATCTTTCTAGCAGGAAAGGCTGACTGACTCTGAGGAACAACCTGAGAGAAATGAATTCAGTAGATCCTTCTTGACTTAGAGACTGGAGAACCAGGGGCATCAGGACCTTGAAGAGAGAGATCTTTTCCATTTCTTCAATTTTTTTGGATTTATTTTTATTTTATGTGTATGAATGTTTTGCCTGTATGTATGTAAGAGCAGCATGTGCAGTGCCCACAGAGGTCAGAAGAGGGTGTTGGCTCCCCTGGAGCTGGAGTTATGGATGACTGTTAGTCACCCTGTGGATACTGGGAAGCTAACCTAGATCCTCTGGATGAAGAGCCACTACTCTTAACTGCCGAGCCATCTCTCCAGCTCCTTTTTCTGTTTTGAGATAGGATCTCATCCTGTAACCCAGGCTGTTCTAGGAGACTCAGCATACAGCCCGAGTTGAACTTCAACATTCAGCAATTCTTCTGACTCAGCCTTCTGAGTGCTGAAATTACAAGCCAGTACGCTATGATGGAAAGAAAAGGATCAGATAGTGACCAGGTGCATATCCTTTCCAGTGGATTTTGGGAGAATAAGCAATGTGGCAGGACTATACTCAACATGCAGGTTCTCGCTCATTAGAATTTTCCTTTGAAATTAGCAGGTTCCTAGAAAGCGAAGTCAAGGAACACACTCCTTGTGTGAACGCTGGAGTGGCTGCCATGCGGTTATGGAGGGGATCTTGTACAACATTCTGGTTGACTACCAGAATAGCCACCAGAAAGTGTTTACAGAATTAGTTCCAAACTTTAGTTATCTTTTCCACAGAAGCTTGTCGTGCCCACACTCGGCCGCAAGCGAGTCCGCGCCTAGAAATAACATTTATTCTAAGGATCTATGCGCAAAGATTCTTGGGAAGTGGCTTCCCTTCTGCATTCTCCCGCTACTCCTCCCTTGGGTCCTCTTTGAAAGAACTGGGGCGACACGTGATTCTTTCCTTTCTCCCACCTCCGACCAACAGGCCGATAACGGGCACGAGCGCAGACCAATCCCAAGGCTGTATTTTCTCTTCCAACCAATAGAAAGAGGCAGTAAGTACTTAGCTCCGCTTTTGTGACTTTCCCCGCCCCCCTCCAGCCCGCCCCCCACTCCTCCTCTTGGATTCGACATTTGACAACCCACCCGGCCAATAGGAAGTTCTTACTCTGAGTGAGAGGGCTGGCCCGACCCAATGACAGACGGCTCCATCTGACCAATAGACTGATCGAAGCGCGGAAGGGGCAGAGGAAGGAGCCAATGGCACGGTGCCGATCACGAACATCAGGGAAAGGGCGGGACGACAGTGTTAGCGGGAGGGAGGGGAAGGCCTCGGCTATCCAGCCGCGCCGCCGCCGCCGCCGCCGCC